TACTCAACAAACAATAAAATAAGTTATTTCATATAAACTTCAAATGGTTTAAAGGATTATTGTTGAAATTATAATGGTCTCTGGAGGGAAATGAGAAAATGTGGCCACAATGATAAAATGGCATAAAATCTGGGATGATTGTGTAAGCTAAGGGAAGAAATTAGTGAAGGGTGAGGCTATAGTAACAAAGGCTTCAGCTAATGTTTAACCACATATAAAAAGTTTAACAAAAGTATGTGCTCTAGTTTTGAGACATAAATGTACAGTTCTTTATCCTAATAAAAACCATAAAAACTGCTATAGCAAAAAAACACCTCTTAAACTTTATCTGACCTGGTGCTCCATCGAAACCTGGAACCTTTTCTGAATCTAGCTCTCTGCATTTTACTTGTCTGCTATCCATCCAAGAAAATATGAAAGAAATATATAATTGAGAAGTAAGAGAGAATAGAATGTTCAGGTGACAGACCCTATATTTCCTTCATGAAAGTCATTTGGATATTTTGAAAAACTTCCTGTGAGAGAAAATTGACTTATACACAACTTTACATTTCCTTCTCTTCATGAAAAAAATTATTCCCAGTTAGAAATTTTTATAATCTTGATATCACCTCCAAGAAGGGAAGAAAATTCAAACATATACACAACACAGAGATACACTTTCTTTTAAAAGAGCTATCTTAGATGCCTATATCCCATTTTCTACTAACTTCTTTTCACACTGCTCAAACTAATTTTTCTTTGGGCACTTTATTCTCTTCTCATTTGTATATTCCAAGTCTTAAAATTTTGATATGCCTTAAAACACTTGTAATTTCAGTCAGTAGTTTGTTTGTGAAGGCTGCCTGTCATGTATTTGTGTGTTGATGAAGATGAAATAAATTAAAGGTTTTGTTTTTTAAGTAAAATGTTTTGAAGCATCTTGAGAGTGAACATCCACAGATATTTATGGAAAATATTAGATGCACTGTTCTTGCAGTATTTTCTAGTATGCATCAGCATAGTCTCAGAACCATGGCCACATAAGGCATTTACCATCTCTGCATCACTGTGTTCTCTGACAGAGAATGACATCTGGAGGAGAACTTCCTACCTAATTGATAAGATCACAATAAAGGATAAACAAATAGCACACTTAAGTGTGCTATTGTGTGCCTTTAGCCGAAGACATTGCTTGGTATAGCATTCAGAACATTATAGTAATGGTTTGAGATAATGTACAGAACCCTTCATGGAAGAACTTCAGAGTGCTTTATTAACCATTGATACATAAAAGCTTTGAATTAAGTCTGGCTAAGAATTGAAGGCCAAAACTTAGTCACTTTATGCATCAAAACATAAATATTATGCTAATGCTTTAGAAAATTGTATTGACTTTAACTACCTTTTTTCCTTTTTAATATTTTTTTGATTCTTTGAATACTTGAGTCATGTATACAATGAATTTTGATATTTTCCCATTTTTCTCACTCTAGTTCCTATTGTATCCATCTTCCTTCCCTGACACCCTCAGCTTCTTGTTGTTTTTTTTCTCACTAAGTCCAGTGTGTGCTGACTATATACCCATGGATTCAGAGCCCTTCAATGGAGAATCATCTACCTAGGAAAGATCATACACGCTTAGGGAAAACTAACTTTCCCAGAAGCTATCAACTGCCAGTACCACCTCAGCTGGAGTGGGAACTTGTGATCTCCTACCCCCTCCATTCTAGAAAGTCTAGAAAGGCTTGATCCTGTCCAGGTCTTGAGCAAGAAACCACAGGTGTTCTGAATTCATGAGTAAAGTGGTCCTATCAAATCCACAAAACACTGTTTCTGTCTGGTACTCCCTAAATTCTGGCTCTTATAAACTTGCCCCCTCTTTATGAATGGTTTCTTAGCCTTTGGGAAAAAGTTATGATATAGATGTCCTACTTATGGTTGAACACACCACAGATATTTATTCTCTTCACTTTGACCTGTTGTGAGTTTCTGTGTTAACTCATGACAACTTGTCCAGACTCCTCTGATGAGGTCTGAGAGTAGCATCAATCTGAGGGTACAAAGGTATAAATTTTCAAGGCATTAAAAGTTAATTAGGAGTTGCACTAATTACCATTTACCACATCAATATCAGACATGAACTTATGATACCTACTTGGTCATATTCATATACCTGGTTTTACAACTGAATCATTTGACCAGTATAATAGATACTTCTAAAGAAGTATTTGTTTCTCTCTAGCACCTTTCAGTGAGTATCTTAAGACATACACTTTCTAAGGCTCTCAGTCTCCAGGTGTCAATGCTTATCACATTCTGCAGGATTTTTCTTCCAGTATTTTGTTCCGTTGTTTCCTTGTAGTTTGATGAGACTTTAACCTTTAAAAATACATAGACAAGCTTTAGCTATTTGTAGTGCTTTGCTAATAATCTAGGGTTAAATGTTTTGCTATGAGTGACTAGGACCAAATTTTTAGGAGTTCCATGTACTGTAATACTAGAGTTTATACCTTAAATAGATTTTTAAAATATTGGTAAATGGTTTTGACTGCAATAACATGAACATCACAAGCTGACTATATAGGAATGCAAAAGTAGGGTAGGCCTGAGGCTTATAGAGTGTGCAAAGAGATTTTGATAACCACAAAAGAGGAAAATATACTAAGCAGAAAGAAATACAGAATTGCTTGCTGACTGACAGCAGAGCTAGCTGAGGCCAAATGGCAGAAATCTGTTCAAACTCAGTTCAAGTATATGAACTTCTTCTGTAAGTATCTGTTACCAAGTATTCCCTATTGATGCCTATAGCACTGGATCTTCCAGAAATGTCCAGAATATAATATGATCTTGCCTTGCTCGGTCTATGTTCAGTCACTCAGTCACACCCAATATAACAACTCAGTAAATGTCTCCAATGCTTGTTAGATTTGTGTCCGCTTGATATAGTCATCTGGAAAGAAAGAACTTCAATTAGAAAATGACTCATCAAATTGACCTGTAGACAAATATGTAGAGTGTTTTCTTGAATAATGGGGGAGTACCTAGACCGCCAGGGGTGATACCATTCCTGGGCAGATGACCCTGAGATGTATGAGAAAGCAGGATGAGCAAGCCATGGAAAGTATGCCTGTAATCAATACCTGTCCTCTGCTTCAATTCCTATCTCAAGATTCCTACCTTAGTCCTGTTTTGGCTTCCTTGATGATTAACTGTAACCTCTAAATCAAATACACCCTTTCTTTCAAAACTTGCTTTTGATTATATTCTTTATTGTAGAAACAGAAAGCAAACTGGGACATCTCTTTATTGATTTTTCTTTATAGTTCTGTCAGTATATTGTTTTTCTTCACCTTTGTGGCAAGATTCACAAAGCATTTTGATTTGATGGGTAATTATAATCCAGGTATGACATTTTATGTAAAATGTCATAAATTTATACATAAACATAAGTAACATAAATCTTCTATGGATAAGAACAAAATATGACTACAATATAGGTAGATAACAGATGAGATGAGTTTATATGGAATTCAATGCTCACCCAGAAAGAGAAACTTTATGTTATGATCAGACTAAATAACAGGTCAGAGCTCAGGTCCTATGTAAAACCAGAATACTGTAGAGAACACCATCAAAATGGAGTAGGAAAATATGTACTAACTATTCATTAGTATTCATTGAGTGTGCTTTGTCTTGGTCTGCATACAGTATGTTAATGGAGTCATCTTTAATAGGAGTTATCACAGTTTACTTTAAGCAGATTAAATTTTAAATTTGTAACATACACAGTGATTTCAAAATCCAGAATCTGAGAAATAATTATAAAAATAGAGGCATGCAAATGCACACTATCTTTGGGGTGGGCATTTTAAGGGATATTGCTTGAATTTTAATTTCAAAACTGAAAGTGAGTTCTCAAAGTCAGAAAATTTGAACCATGCCACAAGTGACTGGTATTATTAACAGCAAACATGCTTCCATAGGTCTATACACAAAGTGGGGATGTATGAACACTCTTCAGTTGAAAAGGGTCCAGGCAGAAAAAGTTGGTTGAAGCTCTCATTTGGAGATGCTAGATTGAATGCCGATATGTTCATCACATCTTAGGAGATCTAGAAGTCCCTGAAACCAGTGGCTTCCTACTAATTATCTTCATTTCATCTTCCACCTAATTTCCACAGTGCTTAATTGAACTTGTTTGTGTACACCTGATGAGGAGACCTAGCAGTGTCCTCTGCATGTCAATCCATACATAATCAACAAATTGCACTCAATGGAATTCTTTTGTTTTATTTCATCTATCTGATATTTATGTTTACTGAAGAGTAAATTCTTTGAACTAAAATGATTTTATTTCTGTGCCAATGTACTTTCTTGACATATATATATATATATATATATATATATATATATATATATATATACACACACACACACACACACACACACACAGAGTTGGTTTCTGTTTTTTTTCCCAAAGGGGTAGCAAAAACCATTTGCAATTAAGAAAGTATGAGGGATGTAAAATAATAGTTTTATTTTAACACTGTATTTTGATGTGATTTATGAGTTCTTATTAAAATTTTCCACTTGTATAAGTCAAATGGTGATGTTTACCATCATACTTCTATAAGAAATTATTCTACAGTAATTAATTAATTTTGAACTTATTTTGTTTGTGTATGGTGTATATATGGAGGTCATAGGACAACTTGCAATGCTTTCTCTCTTCTTCAACAAAGTATGTTCTGGGAATCAAACTCAGTTAATCAGAATTGACAGCAAGTATCTTTAACCAGTAATCTACCTCACTAGCTTTAGTTAATTTTTTTCATTTATTAAGAACTTCATGAATAACTAGACTCTGTTTTAATCAAATCCATCCTCCAATTTCCTCTTCTCTGACTCCTTTTATATTATGACTATCTCTTTCCCCCTTAAATTCATCTGTTCTTTTCCTGTTTTAGTAATGTTTCAGTAAAGTTAAATTGATTTTTTCTCATTCCTTGTATTCATAGATTGTGAGTGTTGGGAAGCATGTCAAAGGCTACCATTATATCATCGCAAATTTGGTAAGAAAACTTTTTTTTCTATTTTTACTAAGAATTGATGAAGTATCCAGTATTGTGTCTGAAAATAATGCTCTAATCAGTGGTCAACTGCATTATTTGCTGTATGTCAGGTTATGTTATTAAAATAACTGGTATATTTTGAAAATGAGAATGGATTTGCCAGGGAGAAATTTAATAATAATTATCATGGTTTTTTTACCATTGTATCTCCTGTCAAATTAAATACTGGCTTTTAGTCTGTCTAAATGATAAATCCTAGTCTATATTCTCCAGTTGTAACAAAACAAGACATAATGGCTAACTATGCAAATATTTTGAATTGGATTAATAACTTTTATACTATAACAGCCTTTCAACTCACCTAAAGATGGATAATAAACAACACAGAATATACTGCTTGAAGGATTCTGACAAGTCTTTATAGAGTATATAACAAGGTTTACAGAGTGCTTCTGATTAGTCCACCAGTTTGGGGAAACAGACTGTTTTATATTTTGTTTTATTATAGAAAAGTTTCATGTTAGACCTTGAACCCCAATGTGGCTTATCCTAAGGAAACCAATGATACTGCAACGGTTTTTCTATTATTTTCTGCCACATATTTCTTTGATGAGAATCTTATTCTTGAAGCAGGAAAGAAGGTAAAGGATAAAGAAGAGCCTCGGTCTGTCACATTTCTGAAGTTGAGTGTGCCATCTCATGTTTAGAAGATCCATCTGCATGTTATGAGCCATCACATGTCCTTAGAGAGAGGTCCAGTCTGAATTGCATCATAGAGCTGAGACAATATAATATAGCAATAGATTTTTAAATTTATTTTACTGTGTTTCTTGATAGAGTAAAATGTTGCAACACAATAGATCACTATAGAAATAGCACCAAATTCAGCTCATCTTTTCGATTCCGTCTAGTAACTCCCCAGTTTAACGTCTAATCTAGTTGTAAAAATACAAATATTAAAGCAAATACATTTTATTTTTTCTAAATGTCTCACAAAAGGCTATGATTGGGGTATCTCTATTCTTGTTGACATCATATAAGTTTCTAATTAATTACTGCAGATGGAGGGTCTTAAATCTATTCTTTCTATACAACATAACAGAGAAGAAAATCAACATATTATAAACTATCATAAAATTAGTGAATTATGTTGGAAGCTAGAATAAATAAGACAATGCATAGTGGAAAGAAATGATATTTATGGCCCACTAATGGATCTCAGAGCCATCCTTAAACAGCCTGAGTGGGTGGCAGCATATTTACACTATAGTATCAACATATGAAATGGAAAACCATTTGTTTTCTAGAAGTAAAAGCACTCACTAGAAATATCAAGCTTTTTTCATGATTAGATCAGTGACATGCACCCATCTGTGTTGTTATATACAATGATAATATGTATTCTCTTGGCATTCATTCATCCATATAAGATAGCTAGTTTCTGATTTTAGCCGATTTAAAACCATTTCTTAATAGCTATGTATACAGTATTCCCAAATGCAAAATTTGGTCAGAATTCAAATAAATATTTTTATTAATACTACAACTTAGTGTTGAAGACTGATTCCATTAAAACTAAAGATGATATGGGGGGAAGCAGGATGCACCGGAAGCGCACAGGGCATAGGAACAGCTCAGTAGCTAGGGACAGGATCTTTCTGGTCTTCATATGCATCCTGGAGCTAAGCCTGACTCACACAGCCCGCCACAGTCAATCCCGTACAGATAGAGCTGGTCTCCCAGGAGGGCTCTCACTCCTAAGACCAGAGGTGAGATCATCATTTTTGCTTCAGTGTTGTACAAAGAGGGTCCCACAGGGAGCACATAGGGAACAAGAACAGCAAAGTGTCTGGGGACAGGATCCTTCTGGTCTCCACTTGTGCCCTGGAGGTAAGGCTGTCCTACAGCCCTCCATGCACAAATCTCCCCGAGGAGAGAGCTGGTCTCCCCAGGAGTGCTGACACATCTACGTTCACACGTTCACAGGTCCACATGAGGGACAAGCTCCAATCAGAGACAGCAATACCAACTAACACTACAGATAAACAGATGGTGAAAGGCAACCACAAGAACATAAGTAACAGAAGCCAAGGCTACTTGGCATCATTAGAACCCAGTTCTCCCAACAGAGAAAGTCCTGGATACCCCATCACACCTGAAAACCAAGACCCTGATTTAAAATCACATCTCATGATGATGATAGAGGACTTTAAAAAGGACATAAAGAACTCCCTTTAAAAAAATGCAGGAGAATACAGGTAAATAGGTAAAAGCCCTTAAAGAGGAAATACAAAGACTCAACAAAAAAAGAGATATTCAGATCAGTTTCCCTTACAAATATTGATGCAAAAATACTCAATAAATTTCACACAAACTGAATCCAAGAACATATCAAAACAATCATTCACCATGATCAAGTAGACTTCATCTCAGGGATGCAGGAATGGTTCAATATACGGAAATCCATCAACATAATCTACTACATAAACAAACTCAAAGAAAAAAAACACTTGATCATTTAATTAGATGCAGAAAAAGCATTTGACAAAATTCAACATCCCTTCATGTTAAAAGTCTTAGAAAGGTCAGGAATTGAAAACCCATACTTAAATGTAGTAAAAGCAAGATACAGCAAACCAGTTGCCAACATCAAACTAAATGGAGAGAAACTTGAAGTAATCCCACTAAAATCAGGGACTAGACAAGGCTCCCCAAACTCTCCATATCTATTCAATAAAGTGCTCAAAGTTCTAGCCAGAGCAATTAGACAGAAATAAGAGATCAAAGGGATACAAACTAGAAAGGAAGAAGTCAAAAAAAAACAGTATTTGCGGATGATATAATAGTATACTTAAGTGACCCCAAAAATTCCACCAGAGAACTCCTACAGCTGATAAACCATTTCAGCAAACATGCAGGATATACAATTAACTCAAGCAAACTTCCTAAATGTAAAGAATGAATGGGCTGAGAAAGAAATTAGAGAAATAATACCCTTGACAATAATCACAAATAATACAAAATACCTTGATGTGAATTTAACCAAGCAAGTGGAAGATCTGTATGACAAGAACTTCAAGTTCCTGAAAGAACAACTTGAAGACCTCAGGAGATCGAAAGATCTTCCATGCTCATGTATTGGCAGGATTAATGTAGTAAAAATGGACAACTTGCCAGAAGCAATCTACAGATTCAATGCAGTCCTCATCAAAATTCCAACTTAATTATTCATAGGGTTAGAAAGAGCAATTTACAAATTTATTTGGAATAACCAAAAACCCAGGATAGTGAAAACTATTCTCAACAATAAAAGGACTTTTGGGGAATCACCATCCCTGACCTCAAGCTGTACTACAGAGCAATAGTGATAGTAACTGCATGGTATTGGTACAGAGACAGGCTGGTAGATCAATGGAACAGAACTGAAGACCCAGAAATGAACCGACACACCTATGGTCACTTGATCTTTGACAAAGCAGCTAAAACCATCCACTGGAAAAAAGACAGCATTTTCCACAAATGGTACTGGTTCAACTAGAGGTCAGCATGTAGATGAATGCAAATCGATCCATTCTTATCTCTTTGTACAAAGCTCAAATCCAAGTGGATCAAGGACCTCCACATAAAACCAGATACACTGAAGAGAAAGTGGGGAAGAGCCTCGAACACGTGGGCAGAGGGGATAATTTCCTGAACAGAACACCAATGGCTTACACTTTAAGATCAACAATTGTAAAATGGGACCTCATAAAATTGCAAAGCTTTTGTAAGGCAAAGTGTACTCTCAATAGGACAAAATGGCAATCAACTGATTGGGAAAAGATCTTTACCAACCCTACATTCAATACAGGGCTAATATCCAATATATGCAAAGAACTCAAGAAGTTAGACCCCAGAGAACTAAAAACCCTATTAAAATGTGGTACAGAGCTAAACGAAGAATTCTCATCTGAGGAATACTGAATGGCCAAGAAGCACTTAGAGAAATGTTCAACATCCTTAGTCATCAGGGAAACACAAATCAAAACAACCCTGAGATTCTACCTCAGACCAGTCAGAATGGCTAATGTCAAAAACTCAGGTGACAGCAAATGCTGGAGAGGATGTGGAGAAAGAGGAACACTCCTCCATTTTTGGTGGGATTGCAAGCTGGTACAACCACTCTGGAAATCAATCTGACCGTTTCTCAGAAAATTAGACATAGTACTACCTAAGGACCCAGCTATATCACTCCTGGGCATATACCCAAAAGATGCTCCAACATATAACAAGAACCAATGCTCCACTATGTTCATACCAGCCTTATTATAATAGCCAGAAGCTGGAAAGAACCCAGATGTCCTTCAACAGAGGAATGGATATAGAAAATGGGGTACATTTACACAATGGAGTACTACATAGCTATTAAAAACAATGAATTCATAAAATTCTTAGGCAAATGGAAAGAGACCATGGGTTTAAATATGGTATTTTAAAATGTTTAATCCTATGACTAGGTATGGTGGTTCATGACTATAATTACAATACTTGGAATGATGATGCAGGAGAAAAGCAATTTCCAGGCCACCCTGGGCTATGAAGGTCAAGGTGAGATTGGACAACATAGTAAAATACTCATTTCAAAAAACGAAGGGAGAGACAGGGATGGACACCTGTAATCCCAGAATTCAATAGGCTGACACTTCAGGGTTGCCATGAATTCAGGACCTGTAAATTCACAGTAAGTTCTGAGCCAGGCTGAGTTGCAAAGTGATACCCTTTCTAGGCCAGCCTAGATTGCAAAGTGAGACTTTGTCTCCAAAAGTTCAAATAGGCAAGTAAGCGAACACAGAATGCCTGTATTAAACAAGGAACAAGGTAGGAAATCTAACAAAAATCTTGCCTTCTTTAAAATTAATCATTTTATTCATTTACATTTCAAATGATATCCCTCTTCCTGGTTACCCATCCATAAACACCCCATCCCATCATCCCTATCCCTCCTCCCCTTTGCCTCTACGAGGGTGCTCCTCCAGAAGGAGCTCAGCACTGTTCTACATGCATTCTTTCATCTCAGCTTTTTACTGTTTAAAAAGAAAGCAGATCTGTTAAGATTTTACCCTCTGTAACCCTAGGATCTCCTTCCTAATCTATCAAGTGTTATATTTTTTCAAAGCAAACAACTCTATATACCTACTGCTGCTTTCCCTTTGTATCCCTCTTAGCTGTAACCTCCAGTCAAGGCATTTATCCCACTGTATCTTAGTGAGAGCTTGGTCACCTATAGGTATCAGGGACATCCGACCTTACTCACATTACTCTGTATACTTACTCTTCCTTCAGCCATTAACTAATTTAAGCACAACTGCTAATAGCAGTATAAAACCCTTGGCACAAAGTCAGAATCATGTTCTTCTTTAGGTTTTTAATTTTTACAATAAATTAAGTTCATATCTAAGAAAACACTAATATCTATCATAAAGAAGTACAAAACTATAGCATTTTCAAGGTGTGTAACTAAAGACTAATTGGATCCATTCCTCACACATACACACATATGTACACACATGTACACAAATACACATCTACATATAGACACCATTCATATCTCAATCAAAGGTAAAGAGATGATACATACAGTGTGTTCATCTATGTTTGCATCCTTAGCTTTAACACAGGAACCTGATACAATTCATCAAAAATCCAGTCTAGAAGTTTTATGCAATTGCAATGAACCAGTTAAAAGGCTACCAATTTGCCAACACTGTCCTAACGAGCCTCCTTCTGAGCTTCCTGTGTGTTTCAATTTTTCTGTCCTAATCTACTCTTCACAGTAAGTTTTAAAAGATGATAAAGGAGAATTTTTCTCATTCTTCTTGGTCTTCTGGTAACTGAACAAGAACAACCTTAACATGGCTTTGTATAAAACACAGCAGCAATGTTGACACGAATCAGATAAAACATAAAAAATAGACTTTTATTTACATTGATGATACAATGAACTTATTGATTGACAAACATCATCATTGAGATATCAGAAACCTATAGTTCTGAATATTTCTCCAGAAGAGGATATTAAAAAGAAAGTCAGATTGGAAATGAACCTAGAGACTTCACTACTAACTGTAAAGTGCAGTCAATATAGGAGGCCATTTCCACAAGAGGGGGAACTCTCCTGGCTCACCTCTGTGCTCAGGAACATTATTTTGATAGTTAGCCACTGACTTCCCAGTAACTGGAGAGTAACTGACTTCATTGTAGTGTGGTCGTAGATCTCCTTCATTTTAATGATTTTCTGTAGATTCCAACAAAAGCTAAGTGGTCACCAAAGTAACTGTTGCCAAGGAAACTGGCTCAGTCTAGATCTTATCAGTTTTCTATATAAAATTATGAGAACGTAAATGGGAGGGAAATGCTGCCTATACTCAAGCAAATATAACCAAAATTAACCAAGCCACTCACCATTTATTCAAACCATATTGACAGGCCCTTGTTATAATCAAACAAAATAGTTTTTCCTTTACCTTTAGTGTGCTGTTTGGCAGACTTTGCATCTAACTGTGTCCCTGCAAGCTGCAATTTGCCTGTGTCTTGCAGCTGTGGCTAAAGCTCCACAGAAGGCTTAGCAGACTTTCTATTTCAGCTAAGACTGAAAGAAAATAATAATCTCATCAATTAGTAGCTAATGCAAGAGCTGAATTACTGTGGCTTTTAGAAAACAGTAAAATGATTTGTCTGCCTGTGGGTTTGCCCTATATGCTGGTGAAAGCATCCAAATGTTCCACACTGACAGTTTAGTAGCTAGAGATTGATGGGCAGTGTGTTTCTCAGTTCTAAGACATAAATTTGCTTTGTGATGTCTGGCTTATTTCTCAATGAAATGAGAATGTTACTGATGAGCTGTCAAACTGGCTGACACATAATAGGCCCAAAATAAATGCCAGTTAAGTGAACTAATTAATAATCACTTACAATTAGTGAATAGATATCCAAAGTGTTACATACTAGAAATATTATCCTTCTGTTTGGTGTAGAGGTAATCTAAGGCTAGAAAGCAACAAAGGTGAAAGTCAAAGCCGGGGTTTCTTTTGTGCCTTTCCTTTCCTGGTAATATTATAGCAACTAATAAAATTAAAAGCATGCATTTCATAACAATATGAAGGAATGCAAGGTACAAAGTGTGAACAATTTGATCAAAACTTGGTTTTATTGTGTATCTATAGGTGACCGTCAAGACTTTTGCCTTAAACACCTATCCTTAATTTTCTTACCTTAAAATTAATCATGTCTACCCAGTAACCAAGATATGATTGAGCTGAATAGATACATTGTAATACAATAAGCACAGAACATGATATATAGTGAATCCTGTTGTAATATAAACCCTATTAGTTCACATACACTGACATCTCAGTAACAATTTGCCTAGTCATCAGTGGAATAATATGTTTCTTCTTGGATCAACAGGCATGTGATTATATGAACTCAAAAGGGAACTTGCATTAACTTACATACTGTTGAAGAACAAGAACATTTAATAAATTAAATTTGATGAGTTTTTCTACTAATTTACAGGGTTTCAAGGATATTTCTCTTGAGAGATTTATACATGGTGGAGCAAATGTCACCGGATTCCAGTTGGTAGATTTTAATACGCCCATGGTAACCAAACTAATGGATCGCTGGAAGAAACTCGATCAGAGAGAATATCCAGGATCTGAAACACCTCCAAAGGTATTTGGTTTTGTATATTTTTGTATATTGTGTACTGTTATCTTTTTAAATTTTTTAAGTTACTTTATGTGTATAAGTGTTGTTGCTTTCATGTATGTCTGTGTGCAATGGGTATGCATTGTGCTTTCAAAGGACAAAAGAGGGAGTCAGATCTGCTAGAGTTGGTATTACTGGTGGTTATAAGCCACCACATGGGTGCTGGGAACAGAACCTGGTTCCTACACAAAAGCAATGTGTTCTTAACTGCCAAACCAAATCTCCAGATCATGTTAATATCTTATTTTATGGCTCCTTTTTTTTAACACATTCAGACACTTTGTAGCATCTTCTCACTGTCTTTGCACTAAAACTGACTGAGTGCTTTATAACTGTTTGTGTAGCTGATTCAGTGAATACTTGCTATGAAGCATCAGAACCTGAGTTCAGATTCCCAGCACCAACATACAAATAGCGAGTGAAGAAGTGTACTCCTGTAATCCCAAGTCTGGAAAGTGGAGGCCAGAGGCTCACTGCCTAGTCAGGATACGTGGTCCAGGAGTGCTGACATTCAGTTAGAGACTTTGTCATGAATAACAAGATGGAGAGCAGGAAAGAAAGTCACCTGAATAAATTTCTAGCCTCCAGAGGTTCACAAACAGGTGTTGTCTCAGTATTTTGATTTTACCAATGAAGATGTCAGCATGAAAGCCTGCTAGCTCAGAGAGGCAGAGAAGACACTCAGCTGACCTTCCTACACAGCTGATTTCCCAAAGGGAAAAGTTCCTTGTGCACACTGTCTCTACAACCTCTGAAAATGAATGTCTCTCCCTTTTACTTCCTGTGTATCTCTCTATTCATCTTCCTGACTTCCTCTTCTACTGCATGGTTTTGTCCTATGTATAATCACTCCTGGTCAACTACTTGCTTGCTCTGCCTCTTGACCTATGGTTGACTTTATTTAGTCCTGTTTACAATAAGCAGAAAGCTCTTGGATGTGTGTTAGGGCTGAGTCACATCACAACTAGAAACAGATTTTTACAGTAAATAAGACAATCTCAGGGTTCACAATATGATCAATAATCCTGCAACTCACAGGTGAGCCCAACTACAGATATACATGCCCATGTACATTCATACATAGCCATACATACACACAGGCATTCAGACACTACAAAAATAATTTTCAAATGTCTGTATATAATAACAGGGATCAACTCAAGCAGTTTCTTGTTGTTGTCTTCTATATGAGCATTTAAATTTTTGTATTTAAATGTTTTATTAACTAACATTTAAATGGAAAGTCTGTTATTAATTTTCTACCCTGATAAAAATACTTTTGAAAAAGTAGTTAATATCAAGTAGATAAATTAGAAAATTGCAGAAGATAACAAGTGTAAAGCTCTTATGCAATGCTTCTTTCAACTGAAGAAAAAAAAACACTGGGCTCTTTGATTTTATTTTTAATTGTATGTACCTATGTGTCTGTGTGTGGGTTTGTGTATGTGAGTATACCCAGAGTCCAGAAGACATTGCCAGATCCATGAAGATGTTATTTCCAACAGGAGTGAGCAAATTATATGGGTGCTGAGCAAAAACTTCAGTCATCTGCAAGAGTAAAAAGTGCTTTTAATTACTGAGCCATCTTTTCTGGTGTGTGTGTGTGTGTGTGTGATAATATGATATATATTAATATATACTTTAATATGCATATACCATATTAATATATTATAATTATTTATATTAGATGAAGTTGTACATTATCAAGAAAACAGTTTACCATAGTTTTAAACCAGACACAGATTTAGGAGTCTAACATAGATTTAAAGAAGAAAGAGTCACTTGGGAAAAGAAAGCTAAGCACCGAAGATATGAGTGTCAGCTTCTCAAAAGAAGATACTTTATGTATGTATGAATGTATGTATGTATGTATGTATGTATGTATACATATATATATGTGTGTGTGTGTCTGTGTACATACCTATGTGCATATATATAGGTATCATGAGTATGTAATTAGCATTTGCAGAGGAAGCTCACAAGTGTCTACTCATGGGTGCATTTTGTCTCATCTGAAAGAATGGGTCCTAAATATCATATCAATGATGGCATTCTGCTCTGACTCCAACTTAGTTTTCTTGATCACCACATAATGAATGTCAATATTTAATCATTCCTCAACTATGCATTTCAGTAGACTTTTAATATATAATTTGAAATCAGACATAGAAAAATTAAAAACAACTAATACAATCAGCTATTTTATTTTCTAGCTATAAGGTTTTTTTGTTTGGTTGGTTTTGATTTTTGTTTTTATTTTTCTTGGGTTTTTTTTGTTTTTTTTTTTCCTTTTATAACAGTTTAATTCCATGCAAGTATTAAAGTCACTTCTAGGTTGAGGAAGTAGCAATATATTAAATGCAACTAGTCAAGGAACAAGCAAGACCATAAACACAAATAGATAAAGAAAAAGCAAGGCAATAAACAAAGTCCTGTGATCACTGTTTCTAGGGGCTTATCAGGATGACCACAATATCTGAGCCTACTTCTCTGTCCTAGCCCAAAGTCATTTTCTTTTTTTTCATTGGATATTTTATTTATTTACATTTCAGATGTCATCCCCTTTCTCCATTTCTCCTCCCTAGGACCCCCATCCCATCCCCCTCCTCCTTTTTGCTTTTATCCCATTTTAATTACATGGATCTATTAAGGTCAGTGCTAGGTTGAGGAACTACTAATAAAATAGATATAAATAGTCAAGGAACAAGCAAGACAATAAACACAAATACTCAAAGAACAAGCAAGGCATTAAACACAATTCTGTGAACACTCCCATGATCACTGTTTCTAAAGGCTTATCAGGATGACCAAAATCTCTGAGCCAACTTTCCTGTCCTAGTCCAAAGTTGTTTTTTTTTAAATTGGCTGTCAACTTCCCCTATTCAATACTGAAATAGAGAGGTACCTTAAAAAATCAAGGAATTACAAAATGAAGTGTTTACTGGTTGTTCATTATATACTAATCATGGTTGACATTTGAATGCTTGTGAGATGTGAAATGAATATGGTAATTGGCCTCCTGTCAGTAAAAAGTCAGAGGTCCTGTGCTTCAGGCTGTTTCTGGAATTTGGCATCTCCCACCACCACACCTCCACATAGAGTCTGACTCATACTGATAAGATGATAAGATGTTCTGCCAAGATGATCTGTCAAATAATCTAATCTGTTGTGTGCTTCTGTAATATTTCTTACCAAATCCTTATGTCATCAGATTCCTTTGATTAAAACCCCAGTTTGTACTTTTTTCTATAATAAGAGGCCTAAAATAAAAAGTGAACTAACATTGCTCTCAAAAAATCCTGCTTTGGAGAATTAGGCCTATACATAGTAAATAAATCTTTCTTGATTGGCTTTTTAGAAAAACGTCAGAGGTTCATGGAATAGATAAAAGATGATCATTTTAATATCACCTTTTTGATGATTTTTATACTATTACTTTGGGATAATTATTATGTTATAGTTTGTGGGATTTGCTTATAATAATTCTGGTTCATTTACAACTATTTATATTTAAAGCATTTTTACAGTAATTTCATAAATAAAGCTACATATCACATTATAACAGAATCCATATGACATATAAAGTTTCCACAGATCTTAGCATGATTCTGGACACCCAGAAAATATTTAATATACATATTACAATTTTATTGGTTATGTTATTTATTTACATTTCAAACGTTATCCCCTTTCGAGGTTTCCCCTCCGTAACCCCCATCACATTCCCTCTCCTCCTGCTTCTATGAGGGTGCTCCTCTACCTACCCATCTACTCCAATCTCACCACCCTAGCAATCCCCTATACTGGAGATTGAACGTTCATAGGACCAAGGGGCTCCCCTACCATTAATGTCAGATAAGGGCATCCTCTGCTACATATGCAGCTGGAGTCATAGGTCCCTCCATGTGTACTTTTCAATTGGTGCTTTACTTGCTGGGAGCTCTGGGGGGGGGGGTTCTGGATAGTTAATATTGTTGTTCTTCCTATGGAGTTGCAAACCCCTTCAGCTCCTTCTGTTCTTCCCCTAACTCCTTCATTGGGGTCCCAGTGCTCAGTCCGTTGGCTGACTGCAAGCATCCCCATTTGTATTTGTCAGGCTCTGGCACAGCCTCTCAAGAGAAAGCTATATCTGGCTCCTGTCAGCAAGCACTTGTTGGCATCAGCAATAGTGTCTGGGTTTGGTATCTGCTTATGAGATGGATCTCCAGGTGGTGCAGTCTCTGCATGGCCTTTCCTTCAGTCTCTATTCCACTCCTTGTCCATGTATTTCATTTTAGACAGGAGCATCTCTAAGTTAAAATTTTAGAGATGGGTAGGTGGCCCCATCCCTCAACTGGGGGCTGTGCCTAACCTCTGTATACAGTCTCTACAGGTTGATTCTCTCCTTTGTTGGGTATTTCAGCTAATGTTATCCCCTTGGGTCCTGGAAGCCTCTTGCTTTCCTGGCACCTGTGACTTTCTGCTGGCTACCCCCAGTTTCTCATCCCCCATTGCTACATACCTCTATTCAATCTGCCCAGTCTCCTCTCATACTTGATTCCGCCCCTTCTTTTGCCTCCACCACTCCTTTCTTCTTCCCAAGTCCCTCCAACTGTCTACCTCCCTTGATTATTTTGTTCCTCCTTCTAAGTAGGATTGAAGCACCCACACTTTTGGTCTTCCATCTTCTTGAGTTTCGTGTGGTCTGTGAGTTGCATCATGAGTATTCCAAACTTTTTGCCTAATACCCACTTATCACCCAGTACATACCATGTGTTTTCTTTTGTGACTGAGTTACCTCACTCAGGATATTTTTTCTAGTTCCATCCATTTGCTTGTGAATTTCATAAAGTCATTGTTTTTAATATCTGAGTAGTACTTCATTACATAAATGTACCATATTTTTTGTATCCATTCCTCTGCTGAGGGACATATGGATTGTTTCCAGCTTTTGACTATTCAAAATAAGGCTGCTATGAACAAAG